TAACCCGAAAAGGGAGACAAATAGAGAGAAAGAATTTATCGAAAAAAAAAAAAAAAAATACTTGAAAGACTACGTGTGAATATACTTGTAAAGCTCAACGTGTTGTATTACAAGGTGCAAGATTTATACGAGATACACCCGTTGTATCGTACGCTTCTTTCTTCCCCATCTATTTCCCCGTTTTCGAGATTTCGTTTTTTTACCTTTTAGCTTTCGAGATAAAATAAACACAAATTTATCAAATTCCTAAAAAAATTCATTTATTTAAGATTCGCCGTGAAGCGAATCGTTGGGGTGGCGGGGCTCACAGAAGAGTCTTTGTACAGAGTTGTCCTTTTTTTTTTTTTTTTTTTTTTTCCTTTTCTTTCTTTTATACAAAATATCTATTTTCTAATTATGTCATCGTTATATGTATACACGCATGTGTACCTGGCTGGGAATCACTTTTTTCCGTTACGTCTAGCAAATTCTAAAAATTCCGTTTCGAAAAAACAAAAAAAAAAAAAAAAAAAAAAAAAAAAAAAACGAATACGAAAAGTGACGAAACAAAACGGATCGATCGATTCGCTCGCAATTTCGATCCAAAGTTCAACATCGTCGCAACAACGCACGCTCGAGGAAATTATATTAACATCGTTCGAGCGATCGACCGATTCTCCCGTTTCGTTCTCCGATTAAAAAAAAAAAAAAAAAAAAAAAAAAATTAGGTCACTGCACAGTCTTACGTTTCAACGGGCACGGTACAAAGGTATGAGCATCGAACAGTGAACAGTCTATCCTTTTGATTATACATATACATATAAAAGGCGCGTCAGTTCTTCTTTTCCCTTTTCTTCTTCTTCTTCTTCTTCTTCTTCTTCTTCTTCTTTTTTTAATCATTCGTCGATTGAGTATTATTTACACGAGCTCACGCTTTAGCGGCTACGAGTACGATTTACGGACTCTTTTTTATTTACAAACAAATCGAGTATTATTTTCACTATCGATCGACGCGACCGATCGAAACGGCAAGCTAGCACGACGATAGACTTTCTAGAAAAATATCGCGCCTCTTGTCCTCTCGCGAATCGTAATTTATCGAACAATATGTACGCTAGGATTCTTTACGCAAACGTAACGGAGAGAGAAAAAAAAAAAAAAAAAACGATCGATTATCTACAAACGCTCGATATTTCGATTCTACATTCTAGACGCGTAAAACAGCGCGTTTCTATCACGAGGAAAATAAAATATATGTATATATATATATATATATATATATGCACCTTTGCACCTTCGAGAATCCCGGCGAAGGTTAGTCAAACTTAACGATCTCTAATCTCTATTTTATACACGCTGCGCAAATCGGAAATCACGCGGAATCGAGCGTTATCGTTATCGTTCACACACACAACACCCTCGAGTGAAATTGGATCGTTTACATATCTAAAAAGAAAAAAAAAGAAATCGCTCGCAACTTTCGAATCGCTATTACATCGAAATGTGTACGATAACAACGCGTTGGCAATGACAAACGCGAGGATAATTGGAAACGGAAGGGTTAAATCCTCAACTCGGCGTCGGTAACCGGGATACCC